CCCCGCACGGCCAGCTGCGGGTCCCTTCTCGGCTGTTCGCGCTGGCGGGCTGCCCGGGATGCACGGACCTTCCCACTAAGGGACGCAGTAACCACAAATGGAGTGACAGACCCTGACAGGGATATCGAGGAAGAGAATGGAGTGGTGCTCGTGGTTTCGGAAGAGGCCATATGGAAACAGGATTAAGCCTAGAAGTGCTTTAGGAAACCTGCACAGTGGGAAGGTTGCCCTTTGTGGAGGAGGAGGGAGGGGTGGATGGAAAATAAGGGAGATGTGCCAAAGAGACTTCCAGTTGTGGAACTGAATTAGGGGGCATAGATTTGGAGTTTGAATACTGTGAAACAACCTTAATAGTTTCCTAACAATAGCAGAGGTTGTTTGTTTTTTTAAGGAGCAGGTGTTATGCTACTGTGTGAACATCTATGTAATTTACATGCACTCTGACCGTTATTCTCTTTGATGCAGGGACACATGCAGAAAACACATTTATCTGACCAGTTTCTGCACTCTGATGAACTCTAAACTCTCTTTGCTGACGAAATACTGTAGCAAAGTCCACCTTAATACTAGATTTGCTATTTGTACCCAAGAGAACATTGCACAGGGAGACCTATATCTCTGGAACAAAAAAGTGGTGATGCTTCAGCATCTGCTTTTTGATGATAGGGAACACTGGAGACTTGATCATCCAGGAGTATTTATTGAGCAGCATTATCAAGGAGCCAAACCAAGGGAACTAACACAAATGCTAATGAAACATTGAAGTTAAGATTTTAATTACTTAAAGGTCAGTACATTCAAGTTTTATTAATTTAAGGGAGTTATTCTGCATTCCCACAGCAATCTGCACTCAGCTCCTATATAGATAAAAAAATTCATGTTATTGTTTATTTGCTGATGCATTCAAGTGATATAGCTGAATACTATACCTGACTATTATTCCTTTTTGCAATTAGGGTCTTGGTCTTTTAACATTTTATTAACACTTCTCTGTATATTTCCTACGTTCCCATCCTTTTCAGTAGCAATGAACCCTACTGTTTTCCTCTAATCTTTGTTCTACATTACAAAAAGCTACATTTCCTTTCAAGGCTGGAAACTCTAGTCAGTTAGAAACATTTGTGGCTAAACTATCACAAAACACGCGCAGGCACTCAGCAAACTAATGTATCAGAACAGCCCTCTGAACTGTCTTGCCCATCAATGGTGCTGCCTCTGGGACGAGCCCATGCTGCCCCCACGTTGTACTCTGGCATCTTCTGGAAAAGCAGAAACTGGCCTTGCCGAAAGCAGTGCTGGGGGCTGTCCGCAATGGCGCTGACTGTGTGCCACCCCTTCCAGTCCGTGCCCTGTCACCCTTATGTTTACTAAGATGGGCCCACAGGTCCGTGTAACCTGTAATAGTTACTCTCCAAGTGACAACATACCCGTGTCCTTTGAACATCAAAGAGATGGAACCAACCTTTAGACTAGAGGTTTTTAAAAGACAGTAGGCTTCAAAAAGGCAGCCTGTGAGCCCAGCGGCACCAGCGACCCTTCCTAGAGGTTGAGGAGCAGAGGATGTGCGCTGTTAGCTGTGTCCCAGCAGCGGTGGGGAGCAGGATATGCGCTGTGTACACCAGCCCGAGGCGGGAGTGTACGACCCGAGCCCGAGCAGGCGATCGGCTGCCGTCCCCCGCCGACCGGCTGACAGCGCCACGGCCTCGCTCCCCGCCCCGGCCTGGGCGATCGCAGCGCCGGCCGTCTCGGCTCTGCCCTAATAGAGAGAGGCTGCCGCTTTCCGGCTAGAAGCGATCGCCCGTAGCTGCGAGCCCGTGCGGTGCCCGGGGCCGCCCTCTGCCCGGGGCCGGCTGCCAGAAGCCGCCGCGGGGCCGCGCATCGGCGCCCCCGCCCCCGGCGTTCGCGGCTCCCCCTCCCGCCCGCAGATAACCGCGGCCCCTCAGGCTCTTCCCCACCCGCCCCGCGCGGACTCGGCCTCGGCTCCCAGCCGCTCTCCAGGCGCCAGCTCCCTCTCGTCGCAGCCGCAGCGCGGGCAAGGATGGCTCGGCAGCCCCGGGGCTTTCTGCAGGAGGCCTCTCACCAAGTCGTCGCCGGAGGCTCGGCGGGTGAGTGCGCGCGTTCCTCGTGGGCGGGAAGGGTCTGCCCGTCCCCCGCCGGCGCTCCGCCAACTTGAGGCGCAGGCGGCCGCGCCGCCTCCCCCTCTCCGCGCCGCTCGGGCGGCGGGGAACGAACCGGCTCAGCGGCGGCTCCTCCCCCGCCGGGCGGCGCCGGCGGGCTCCGGAGGCGACCCAAGCCCGGGGGTCCCGGAGCAAGTCCCTGTAACGGTGCTCGGCCCGCCGGCGGGGCAGGGGCGTGAAGGGGCGCTCCCGGTTTCCGCGGTGTATCTGCGCCACACACGCCATGCAGCCCCTCGGGCGATAAGAGCGGCGGGCGGGCCCCTTCAACGGCAGCAGCCGCCGGTGTCCTGCAGCGCAGCCCGCCCGAAGGGCTGGAGCCGCCTCGGGGGAGTCCACGGCCGGGATCCGCCTCCAGCGCCGGGATACGGGATAGAAAACGTAGTTGCCCTGCTCAGACTCCTTCCCCGTGACACTCTTCGTCGCTGAGTTACAGAGAAACCAATGCAGGGCTACAGTGGAAATGAGTTTCTGTGTGGTTTTTGAAATACTTTTAGGAATGTCGACATTACTCATTAATTTGTAGTCTGTTTGTACTGCAAACTACAAATGTCAAAATCGTACACGTCTGTTTAGGAATGAAAGCGTTGCTGGTCAATTTCTTCAGGTTTCTTACCTAAATCCCAGTGAAACTGAAACATTTAAATCAGCCTGCAGTATAGGGGATTTTAACACAATATCCTGCTCTTTCAGTCTGCATATGTAAATCCTGTTAATATTTCAACTATGTAGTGTGTTTTTAAGTGTTCCTTAGAGTCTCTTCTGAGGTCTAAATGTTGTTTGTATATTTTACATGAAAGAGAAGAGCTTCATGGTGGTATTGCTGTGTCTTATGCCTCAGTGTAATGTGCACAAGAAAAATTCTCTTGTGATTGACAGCTGTGTAGCCATGACATTACATGTGAGCTTGTCTTCCATTCCCTCTAATTCCCCTTGTACCTCTAAATCCACTTCTATGCATTCCTACCACCAACATACATTTGTGCAGTTTGGTTTCATGCTAGTGGCTCTGTATGCCCTTTGTTTTCAGCCTTCTTCTTTGACAGTGAGAGATGTCATAGCAGAAGTGGAGAAGTCTGGTGTCCCAGTGTATTGTATGACTGCTGTCCCTGCCCTTCCAGTGTATTGTATGACTGTTTATGTAGCTTTTCTGGCACCTTTGAAATTCTAAAGGTTTTTTGGATTCTGCTTGGTACCACCCCTATCTTCCTATAGCAGAGAATGGAAAGGTTTAATCTGTCCTAGACTGTTGAAAACCCTTCATACATGAAGGGATACTGAGGTGTTTTGCCCCCAGATGTTTTGCAAGATGACAGATTTATCTTCTTTAGCAGTTGGCCTGTGCCTTAGTGATTCAGATTGATCCAATGCACTGTGTTACCATCCTCTGGCAGGAGCCTTTTTTTGTTACAGGTTCTCTTTGTAGAAGAGATTGCCTAACACCACAGAAAGAAAATTCCCATTTAAATAAATGAAAAATATTTGGTAATCTGGTAGACATCAGTATTAGGGTGAGAGAATTTTCAAGGAGACTATTGATCTGCATGCAACACTTTAAAAAAAAGTACAATGTGAGAGGCCTGTTGTGTCTAGTCCAGCAACTAATGTTAAGGATGCTTGCAACCTTTTGCTTCATCTCCTGTCAGGCAGGCAAGTTCCTTAGCTGCATCACTTGCCTTAAATTTGTACAGAAATTTCTATTACTTTGTTTTGAAATAAACCAGTAATGATTCATTATCTAAGTGTGAGCAACGCTAAAATTGTACCAGGGTATTTTGAGAAGTGTGCTTCAAATGGGAGCTATAAAGTGTGTTAGAAGGAAATGGATGAAACTTGAAAACTTGCTTGACAGATGCTTAAAACTCAGTGGTGTTTTTTTCCTGCCAATTTACAGAGAAAGTACAAGGTAAAGGCTGAAGTTTTGAAGTCTTCAGACTAAAAGTTATATTTCTTAGGCAAGTGTAGATACAAGATGGAAAAGGTGAAAGCAAGGAGAAAAGGACTGAGTTTGTTTCCTGACCTTAGTTTCCCAATATTACTTTGACCATCCTATATTGCTTTTAACTGTCTTTGCAGGAGGACATAGGACTCTTGAAGGTGTTTTGTTCTGTTTCCTGGCCTCAAGTGAATGCCATAGACATCCTAGAGTCAGACTGTACCACAGACTGGTATTTAGAAAGAAAACCAACCAACCAACCAACCAACCAACCAACCAATCAACCAAAAAGAAAACATACCAAAAACCCAAACAAAACAAAAAAAACCCCAACAAAACAAAATCCCTCAAAAACCCCAAACCAGACATAAATTAGTCTTAGTTAAGCTGGTTTCTAGGAAAGATGAGTTGGACTCTGTCAAAGCAATGGTAGGAAAGTGCTGAGGTTGTTGAGAATGAATGGCACAGCCCAGTAGGTGTAATTGGAGGGTCAGAAATATTGCCCGCATAAGTAAAATGAGAGGTTATTTAGTATCTCCATGTCTGAAGCAAAAGGATCTGATAAGAAGTAATTCTGCTAGGTTGAGTGGAAAATTATTAGAGATAAACCAAAGCTGGCAGATCAGGAAGAAAGAGATTTTTTGATGCTTTGTGGGAGATGACAGGACTTGTTCATACTTATTAAGACAGGGGAAGAGAAAGAAAGAAAGAAATCAAGCATGACCCCTAGTCTACAGGACTGATAAAATGGAAGATACTGGCATGCTGGAAGAAGGAGAAAGGAAAGTGTTCAGTGTTTTAAGAGAAAATATATCAGCATACTGTTGGCTGTCAGAGGCATTGCTAAGTTAAACTTGAACAGCTCTCTGCTGTAACTGAACTGTAAAAGTCAGGCATGATAGATCTCATGCATACTTTGTCAAGGGGTGTGTCTGCTTTCATGTGGCTTGCAATCTGACTTCATGTGAAATGGAAAGCTCTGCTTCCTGAGAGTGAATGAAATTTTAAATATGAACAAAGTCTTACACAGTCTTGGCTTATGTTACTTCTGCCGGCATTGTTTACTCCCATCTTTCAGATTCCTCAATGAAGGCTGATAGCATAATTCAAAATGCTTGGTTTTGTTTGCTTGCCTGGGTGTATGACAATAGTGAGGAAAAGGACTTTGATTAAAACCTAATTGGGACACTTCATTAGTGAGTTGAGGCCATTCTAGTACAGGGAACTGCAGGCATGTTCCTTTTCTCTAATGGTTAATTAGTAAGCTAAAGCATGTGTGGAATTTATAGCAAAAAAATTAAACAGAAAATCAACTCTAAACTGTAACGATCATTGTGAAAAGAGCAACTTGCGAGCTTCTGATTTCCTTAGATTTATAGCAATTCTTCAAAATGTTATTTGAGGAGCTCAGTCAGTACAGGGTTCAAGTCACAAGAAGAATTGTTTCTCTAAAATGCAAAGATCAAAAAAATCCTTGTTTTGCCTGCCTGTATGGAAAAGGCAGAAATTAAAACAATAGTGTTGCATATAAAGTCAATGGATATTTCCTCATACAGAGGAACTGACTAGTGCAAAGTATGTTATGTGATACCCAGATTAATTTGTCAAGACATACTCGTAACAGGGTGTTGAGCCAGTTTGAATGATGAAGTGCAAATGTCATAAACAATTGCACAGATACCCATGGCACAGTGAAGGCTGGTGGCTGCATATGGTTACCCTGAAGGTTTTAGGATGCTTCTGTTTGATATAGGCGTGTTCTTGTTTTTTTAATAACAAAAGATCGCAGATGGAAACAATTAGCTAAAACTGCACGTAACATAAATAAAATGTAATTATATTTAGTTGTATGATAGCCTCGCTTTCTTCCATACATGTACAAATAACCTATAAACATTTTAAATTTTGAAGTTAAAAATTTAAATAATTTATTTCATATATTTAGCAAGTGATAACTAGATGACTTGTTTTTCAGATCTGTAATGTTTAACCAATCTTTAAGTACTTTTCTGCTGAAAATTAGGTATGTCTCTTTGCCTAATTCCATTTAATAAATGAACATGAACTGCAAAATTAATTACTGTAAAATTAATATGAAAAAGTCAGAACAAAATGAGCTTTAAAACAAAACTGTTACTTCATAGGGATAATTCAGGCTGATCTTTTTTCCCCCCTATTCTTCATGTTTTCATGAAACAGCAGGGTTTCTGCCTCTCTGCACTTCTTGGCTTCAATTTTTTAATATTTTTTAAAATTCTTTTTTAAAGAGTTAGGTTTCCAGCTGCATTGAAACCTAATAGGATTTGGGAGTCTAATTTTCTTAAGCTCCCTTGAAAGTCCAAATCTTTTCTCTTGAGAGGTGTTTTATTTCAGGAGTAGACAAAGTTGATTAACCTGGATAGCAGCAACTTCTTTGAACCAGATCTACAGGCAGGAAAGCCACTTGTCAAACAAAGACTGTGAAATGCAGATACAGTATTAAAACCGGTGTTTGGTCTTCCTGTTGCATGAGGCATTAGGCAGACAAAAACCATTACAAGGCACACTAGCTTGCATAATCAGTGAAACACCTTAGGTTACTTTGTCCCTGTGAATGGGAGAGGGAGTGATAGATGTACAGGAAGCACTTGAAACTGCAGGAAAATTGTTTAATTATTGTCCTCCCCCTCGCTTGTTTGTATTTTTATGACAGTTTTCTGGGAGTTAAAGTTAGGAGGAGTATTCTGTGTTTTCTTGGGTGCTTTTCTCTTCCTTTTAAGCCATGCAACGGGCATTCACATGTTACTAAATTAATTGTTTAATGCTCAGAGGTAATTTCATCTAGCTAAGTACTTAGCTACACCTTGAAACTTTCTTGACTTGAAACCATAAAATTTTAATGTACTGAAATCTTCCTTTTTCTATTTCTCTGAAGTCACTTAAGGCTGAAATATTATCTGAGGCCACAGTTCATGCTTGGTGTCTTTCACTGCCTTGATTTGGTATTTCAGATGTT